TTTCTTCATATGAACTAAAAACAATACGATGGAAGTGCAGTGGGCTCGGTTCCATTTCAACAGATGGATGTGAGTGTGTGCCACCAAGAGAGCATGTCACATATGTCTGTTAGGGCAAGACCCCCTGCCCAGATCATCTAAACTGCTGTCTATCCTGATTTTTTACATGTCTGTGGTTTGGGGATGTGTCACTGCTACATCATTTCTAGGCTGTATTAAATTCTGAAAAGAAAGTAAAAGCATTGTGGCCAGCAGTGGAGATAACGGAATTATTTAAATCAGTGAAAAAGATAGTGGAAGGCAGAAGAGTATTTTGTGGGAGTCTCCAGATGGAGACTGGTGCTAAGAGGGCTACGAAACAGGCTAAACCAAAATTTCCTGCTGTGACATCTCTCCTGTGCACACTGGTATCTGTGAACAGTGCCACTCCGTGGCAGTCTCCATCCTGGGAGAAAGCTGAAGTCACTGTTGAGAGCACAGGACTCCTGTGCTTGTTCATAGTACTTAATAAGGTATAAACCAGCAACTGCTTTTGTCTCCATACGAGGGAGGCAACTAATTTTGTATTTTGGTATGGTCCTCTCTAAAAATAATGTCTTTTTACTCTGCTTGAATCAAGGCCCCCTGAATAACAGGCTTCTACTTGGTTTATTGTAATTTCCATATTTGTGGCAGTTTGGAGCTGCCTGTAATTACTTATCAACAAAACATCAGCCACAGCATGGCTCAGTGGGTTAGCAGCTGAAAGACTTGGCCCTCGAAGTCTCTGATTTAGGTGCTTTCTGGACCAGAACTGTCTGAGACTTGTTACCACGAGATGTCTCCTTGGTTGCTTTTGTGAAGCAGATTGCTGGTTGCCATCCCAGTCCCCATCACTGGTGTATTTTAGAAAGACTGGGCCGAGCACTTAGTTTGAAGCAGAGAGAGAGAGAGCTTAGCGTAGAGGCAAATGGATTTATGTCCCCAAGACATAAAGTGTTGCTCCATGCCTAGAATAGAGGCATGTGGATGAAATACTAACGTGGAAGTCAGTGTGATGAGGACTTGCAGGGATATCACCTGCTTTTGTGAGGAAATAGAAGACTCAGGTCTCCAGTGCTGGCACTTGGGTTGGATAAGCACTAAACTTTCTTCAAAATATCTTAAAAGAAAATGACATCCTGGAGCTTCACAGTTTCCCATTTGTATGCTAAAGTGGTGTTCTTTAGAGCTATTTTGGGTACAGTAATTATTTTTCTCTGTAAAGAATGCAGTCTCTTTAAAGGAAATACTTCTTTTTTTCTCTTTTTTTACCTCTGTAAATTAGAAGCCTTGCTATGAGTCGTGTGTGTCCATCCCCCCCTCCACCCCCCACCCCCCGGCAGTGTCATAGCTGGTTTTCCACACAGTAGGGCCATCAAATCAAACCAAATCTTTGCTCATACAGGGTGTATAAGACTGCAGGACCTAACTCTGTGTTGCTGTCTATTTTGAGCTCTGTAACACACATACAGATAAGTACTTGCACCAAATCTGTGTGTAATAATTGAATCATCTAATACACTTACTCTCAAAAGTCTTTAGCATTTGTAAGTCTTTTCATTGTACATGGGGATGTTTCCTCAGTATAAAAGCAGAAATGTGCTCAAACAATGGATCTGCCATAAGCGATTAAGAAACACCCTCTTTTAATATACTGGAGAGCTCTGCCGAAAAGCTGATGGCATGGCACTAGCCACTGTATCCTGCATGAATTGGGTTCTAATTCTATTTTCTTTGCAATAGGCATCTTCCCAATATGTTCAGTGTAGTAAGATAGGGCCTCTATGTGCTTGTATTCCAATAAATGTGATTATAGTTCAAATGCTGCTTTCAGATGTACCTGCAGGGCTCTCGTTGACTTCAGTTGGAGTCCCAGTCATGCACTGTGGGAAAATGTGATTCTTTACATCTTCTAGCTGAACTGAAACATGAACTGATTAGAATAAATGTGACTGTTACTGAGATTCTCTAAGGAGCATAGAGTCTCATCTGACAAACCAGGTATAAATAGAAAATCCATAGTTTTGGCCATGTAATCTGAAATTGTATTTGGTAGAAATTTGTGATCAGCATCATAGCATATAACGGAATAGATCCAGTGTAACAGAAAAAATGCCTAACATGCCAGAAACATTAGGTACTCAAACAGGATTTTATCTGGAATATTTAAACTACCATATAAAAACTTAGTGCTGTGGTCTCATGAGAGTCAAAAAGATCACTGATTGTCTGTCGGTAGGGTAGACTGAAGTAGAAACTGAGAACATGTTACTTAGGCTGCAAGGAGACACAGATCTGCTGGCAAGATCATTGGCTTTAATACCATCAGAGAAGGAGTAATTGTCCATGCGGTTCTAAATTAGAGTAATATTTAGCTTTCAGTTTATGTATATGCAAATAGAATCTTTTGTTGTAGGAAGAAAATCAGGGTGAGCAAGTGAAAGAGTGCATATAGTGTTAACGTGTTTGAAAGTGTTCCTGGTTTTTACTGGGCAAGTTGGGGGGGCATATAGGAGCATCACTGAGCAAGACACGCAGCGTCTCTGCCCCAGAAAGTTTGTAGTCCAAATGGGCAAGACGGACAAATGGCAGGAAGAGTGATGACTGACTTTGTTGAGTGTGTGGCAGCAGTGAAATTAAATATGAAAACTTAACTTCAGATCTCTTAAATTTAAGTCCAGTCCTTAGTCATGAGACTAACTTTGTCATCTGAGAGGTGAAGTAATAAACAAGGATCTTAATACTGACCTTCTGAGAGGCAAATTTGCTGTATTATATCCTACCAAATGGTCTCCAAAGGAGTGCCTGTGTATTGGCTTGGGGGCAATTTTTAGTTTAACTTCTGAGCAGAATGTAGATCAGACATTGCAGCTTCCAAATTCCCTTTTATTTGTTTGATCTCTAGTCTCAAAGCTCTGAAGTGAAAGCTTTAAATAAAATAAACAAAGATGGGAGTGTGAAACAAGAAACTGTGCTTCATTATGCTTAGAGTGCTCTAGGAAGGACACAGAGAGACTCATGCGTTATGCGGAGATGAAGTGTTCACAGCAAGGAAGAAAATAAGTCTTCACTTCACGCCTATCCCTCTCCCCCCCACAGAGCCTTTTATGTCTGAGGCAGAAGAAGTCTGCTTGTGGGCTACATGGCCCGAGACAGTAAAGCGCCAGGTCCCAATTCTGCAGTCTCTGTGCGTGTGCAGCTCCCGGTGATGCTCCTAAGAGCAGTACATGTACAAAGTCAAGCTGTGGCAACCTACCCTGAGGCCGGAGACCATGTCGGGAGAGTGTTAGATCTCCATCGTGCACTTGGGAAGCAAAAGGTATTTTTTTGCAGCTTAGAGACAGGAAAGTAAATGAGCACACTGTTTTCTTGAGTATAACGAGCTGTGGCTGGTTAGAGGGCCTCTGGGGTGTCTGTGGTTGAGTTTGGATTAACTTT